CCCACCCCTCTAATTATTCATTAACCACAGCCCAGGAAGTGCTTTGCAAATGGTGGAAATTAAGCCCTCTGCTCGAGGCCTGTGGTTTGCCTGACCTGGAGCTACCTACTTCTTAGCCTGCCTTGGAACAGGCGGAGTTTGGGGCCGTGCCCGTGCAGATTGGACACAGGTGAGTCACAGGAGGTGCTGCAGCCCCCAGGTGCTGCCAGCTGCCTCTGCAGGGCCCTGGTACTCACCCCCTGGGCATCCAGCCCTGTTGGGAAGGTGCGAGTCCACCCCTGCTCTGGCGAGGTCTTTGTTCTCTCTCCCAAGTTCATCTCAAGAGACCGCCCTCATAATTCCCATATTGCTTCCTTCCCTTCAGTAGGACCCCGTGGCTGTAGCACTTCCCACATCTGCTGCTGCCAGCGGGTGGCCCGTCGGCGGGGATCTGAGAGGCAAGATCCTCATGCCATCCTGCGGGTGAGTGCTGGGAGTGCTTGTCAGGGGAAGGAAGAAAGAGCTGTTGGTGAGAAAAAAATGCTGGCAGTGGGAACTGGGCACAGAAGAGAAGAAACCCACCTTCTTATAGGAGCTAGGGGAAAGCCTGAGGGCTGGGATTCAGGGTGGTTTAGGTTGCTGTTGCTGTCACTGCTGGTCCTTCTCACTTTGTTAAAGAGCAGCAGGGTCTGGATACCCAGTCCACTGCGGTTCCTCTGCCAGCCTCACAGAATGTTTTTGTACTGAGGTGGTCAGGTGGCTGGCTGACCTTTTTAGTCCTGGTTATTTCTTGGCTCACTACAGCCTTCCCAGCCCTTTCTGAAACAGCAGGATGTAAAATCTCCAGGGTGAGTCCAGGTGGGTTCTCTGCTCTGGGGACTGTGATAGTGTGGTGTAAGGAAGTGGGATTCACACCAGCATTACTCTGTGACAGGGATCTGTGCAACCACAAGTGCTCCAGCACTGTCCTGGGGTCCCGTGGCCTGACAGAGAGCATCTGGCTTGGGAAAGTCCCAGGAAGATGGTCCATCTGCCCATTCCCCAAGCCTGGGTGGGTTTGGCTCTGCACTGAGTCAACACAACGGAGCTACAACAGTTCTGTGCACAACAGCAAAACCTCTCGTCTGATGTTGTCTTAGCACTGAGAATTAGAAGTGACAAATGTGGTGCCGATTCCTAAAAAGGGCTCCAAATAGGATACCCCAAATGTGGGGGAAGCACAGACCAATAAAGCTGGTACCTGGGTAAGAGGGTGGACAGCGTAACAGAAAGCAGTGAGTGTGATATTGAAGAAAGAGTCAGCAACTGCTTCTGTAAAGACAAATCCCATCTTGTTTTCTGAGGGACTCAGCAAGCGTGTGGATAAGGCAGGTCTGGCTGACACAGTTCTAAAAAAATATATTTAACATTATTTTTTCATCAAAGTCTTAAAATAAAGCTACAGTCATAGCATAAGAAGGAAGAAGACAACCTTTATCTTGGGTAAAAGAATTAATAGAAAATAGGAAAGAGAAGGTGGAAATAAACATCCAGATTTTACAGGAAAGGGAATGAATCAGTGGCCAGATCACAGGGCCTGACCAGAAATGTAGTGTATTCCCAAATGACCTGGAAAGAGAGCTTGGATGGTGAGGTGACCAAACTGGCCGATGGTAGGAAGTTGTTCAGGATAATAGGGTGGGAGATGACTGTGAGTAACTGCAGAAGGGCCTTATGATAGTGAATGGGTGGGCAATAGAACAGCAGCTGAAATAAAAATACAGGCATATGTAAAACAATGTTCCTGGAGAAAAATAATTCCAAGTTTACATATAAAACTATGAGCTGTAAACTAATCCTAACCTCTCTGGAGTAAGACTATGATTATATATAAATGCATGGAAGTGTGAGCTTAATGCTTGGTTGTGGTGAACAAATAGCACAAATTGCCACTGTGTCTCAATATGTCCACATATCCCTGGTATCTTGAACACTGCAGTTCTGTGCCATCCTTCACCCTTACCTACAAACAACGCAGCAGAGTTGGTGACATCCCAGAGAGGGACAGCAAACATGATCAGAGGTGTAGAAAAGCTCTGTGTGAAGATCACCTTCATGGGGTTGCAGTCGTCAGCCTGGGAAAGAGCTGAGGAAGGATACAAACATTACAGGTCTATAAAATCATGATCAGCCTGGAGGGGGTAAATAGGAATCAGTCATGGAATCTTCTCTCTCTACGACAACCAGATGTGAATAAAAATGGGCAGGGAGCAGCTTATAAGCAAGCCAAAGGAGGGAATGGTCCTGTAGGTCAGTAGTGGAGCTCCTTGCCAAAGGATGTTGTATTTGGTTGACTCTAGAAGTAGCTGCAAACAGAGGCTTAGAGAGTACAAGGGGGAAAATAAACTGTTCCTCCACCCTCTAAATCGCCCAGTTCCCCTCTGGGTAGTCTCAGATAGCTGTTAAACCCCTTCATAAGCATCTTTTCTCCAGGCTGAAATAAACCCAGCCTGGCAAACCACATCTGCTGTGCTCCTGTGGTCTCACTGCCTCGGTGGCCTTGCACTGGATTCTGTCAAGTCTCTCAGTGTCTTTTTTTTACAGCAAGTCAGATGTGGGTGTCTTTTAATTAACTATTTCGTTTATCTTCTCCTCTAAACTTGTTCCTGTGCTGGCAGTAGCTTGGCTCCACAAAGGGTTTACAAGATGAGGTTCTACCACCTCTGTTTTCCTGAAAGCCAAAGAGAGAGCAGCGTAGGAATAGTTTCTTTGCTGAAAACTTTTGACCTGTTAATTATATTTAAAACAATATTTTAACGGTTCAGTGATAGTCTGCTGTTGCACCCTGCAGCCTGTGAGGAGAGCAACCTCAGAGACACCATTTGCTTCTCTACTGTGCTATTTCCCTCTCTTACCAGCAGGAGCTCCTCCCCAGTTGTCTTTGGTCCAGATTAAAGACAAGGCAGCTTGTGCATCCAGTCCTTTTGTCAGCTAAAAGCAACCAGAAGCATAAATTCATTCCATAAATGATGAGACCTGGGATTTGTATCGACACAAATGCTGATATGTGGGTTATGCTGCACCCTGTGCCTTGTCTTACTGGAGGATACAGAATTACCTGGGTTTAGTGCTAACTCATCCTTTTTCTTCTACTCTGGGCTCTTTGCTACCTTTGTCCTTTCCCTGTTCCCCTGTGTCCCATTAATGTTCTTTTCCTTGGGCAGGCTTTCTCCGTCAGCCAGTTCATAAGGTGTAGGGGTGCCTAGGCTTTATTTTTGTCTACCATGTCTTCATAATCTAATATTATTTAGTTACCAGGAATCCTCTTGCAGGACTTCTGCCCACAAGTTCCTGTTCTTTCTCTCCCACCACTGAACACTTCTTCCCTGTGCCCTGCTAGACTGGCTCTGATTTAGGTGCAAGTCTTTAAGGTGCAACTTCTACAACTTTGGAGCTACAGGTCTCTGTGCATTTAAGTCTCCTTTTTTTTTTTTTTAATTTTTATTTTTAAATAATGATTAGTTTTCAGTCAGCACAGCTGGATCCCTGCAGCTCACTGCTGGCTCATCGTGAAACTAGAAGCATGTCAAAGGAAGCTGTTGTAGGTGCCTGGGCTGCCTTTCTAACAATGAAGTTTAGGTTCCCACTCATCCCTCCAGCACTTCCCTTTGTCGTCGGTTTCTGTCTCGTCCACAGGTTTTCTCTCAGCCATTGCTAGCAGCCTGCTTAGCTTTTTGCAGAATTTTCCAGTCTGGTGTGTGCAGGGAAGTCTGCAGCTAGTGATGCTTGAAATGAGAAAGTCTTCTGCTGTTCCTGCTGCTCACATCCCCACACGGGGTAGCTGAGATGGCCCAGGGAAAATCAGGCTCATTTGCCAGCTGGATTGCCCTCTTTGGCCACTGCTTAGCTCCTGTTCTTTCACGAGACCTGCAGACCTTGAAACCAGTGCTATGGGAAAGGGCCACTATGGGCTGGAACTGGAGACAACTAGACAACTGGAAATGGTTAGTTTTCCTTCTTTCTATCTGGTTGTCCAGGTTGACAGCTTTGGCCTCGTCACTATACTGCTCTGAGGTCTGGAAGGTCCCAGACTAATCCCTCTCGGTGCTGTGTGAGCCCACTGTCCTGCTCCTCTGGCTGCTGTTGAGGGGAGCTTCAGCACCACCTCCCACCCCATCCCTCTGGAGCTCCCACTGCTCCCATCAGCTGCATCCCCCAGCAGGCTGTTCTCAGCAAGGCAGCACTCTGCTTAGAGTGCCCATCTGGCCCTCGAAGTTTGCAGCTCTGGGCTTGCACAGACTTCCCCTGGGGCTGAACAGAGCACGGAGAACATTCACCTGCCCAGAGGGTCCATCAGTGGGCTGGTGTGTGGAGGTTTCAGCTGGGCAGCCCAGCAGAGCCAAGGTGTGGGTAACCGAGAAGGGTGCTTCGTTGCTCAATGTGTGCTGGACTGTGCTGGCTGCTCCAGGCTTGCAGGTGTGTGGATGAGCCCAGGCAGCCATGGTCCCCTTGGCATCATGGCAAGGGCTTGGGAGTGGGGAGCACTCCTGGCTCGCCCTGCCCTTTTGAGGAAGAAGGGGAACAGAGGACGTGCAGAACCGAACTTTGTGAGTGAAGCCGGGACCCGAGATGCACCCACAGAGCCAACCCTGGTGTGAAAAAAAGACAGGAACCCAAGAATAACAGGGGGGATGGGGAAGAAAGACACAAAAGGAGAAGCAGAAGTGTGTGCAAAGCAGCTTGTGGCTGGGGAGCTGATGGCTCAGAGCTCTTCCTGTTCCTGGAGCCGCGTGTGCCTGGCCACGCACGAGCTGGTGCCTGCCTGTGCCCCACGTCGCTGTGCAGAGGGGCAGCACCCACGGCACGTGTGGGGAGCCGGGTGGATGGAGAGGGGCTGAATGGGCTGGTGTGATACATGGCCAGCTCCCCAGAGGGACAGAAGCAGCTTGGCCTTGGGTGCTCCGGCACAGAGCTCCAACTTCCTTTTTCTCACCAGTGTAAACTGATTTCTGCTTTGCATTTTTTGAGTTGCTTTGGTGGCAGCCTCTTGGCCCCCTCTTCTTTTGCCCTCCACGATGGTGAGGTAAGAGGGGCTGAGAAGTGTGTGTGTGTGTGTGAGAGAGAGGAGGGGGACCAGGAAAGTAGGACAGATCAGAGGGAGGGATAATCCTGGAAGCTGTATCTCAGTGGAAACCTTTCATGAGGTGGGGGAGGTATCTGGTAGGAAGGGCTGCTGCTGAGAGCTGCCACCTGTATGGGCATCTCTAGGGATCCTGACTGCAGACCATTCTTCACTGTACTAGTTTCCAGAAGAGTGCTTGGACTTTTTTACTCACTTGGTCTTGTTTTATCTCCTCTGGTAGGTGGTTTCACCGTGACTTGAGTGGGCTGGAAGCTGAAGCCTTGTTGAAGGGTCGAGGTGTCCATGGGAGCTTTCTGGCCAGACCCAGTCGGAAGAATCAGGGGGACTTTTCTCTTTCAGTTCGGTGAGTAACTTGGACCTCAACCTTTGCCTTCCCAAGGTTATATACACAGAACGCTCCTTGGATCCCGTGGTGCCTTCTTCACCCTGTTGTTATTCCTTTGAATTCTTTCCAAACTGTAAAAAGACCTGAGCATATTCCAGACAGGAAGCAGGAGCTTCTCTTTCCAGCCATCTCCTTTCACTAGGAGGGCTTGCTCTGGTTCCACAGCGGGAGGTAAATGCAGAACCTTTTCTGCCTCCTTCCCAACTGCCTCGCTGGACTTCTCTGTGCATCATCCCACAGGGTTGGTGACCAGGTGACCCACATCCGCATCCAGAATACTGGGGATTTCTATGACCTCTATGGAGGGGAGAAGTTTGCCACCTTGTCAGAACTGGTGGAGTACTACACACAGCAGCAGGGCTCGCTGCAGGACAAAGATGGAACCATCATCGACTTGCGATACCCCCTTAACTGTTCTGACCCCACTACAGAGAGGTAAGGAGCAGCAGAGCAGCTGGTGTCTCAGTGATGAGACGTCCTCTGTTTCATGGCTTCTTTTCTGCCCCCTGTGCAACCCCTGCCAGAAGTGTCTCCTGTCTCCCACACACTCCTGTGCTTCCATGGGGACAGCATCCCCAGGAGTAGCTGGAGTACCTTGACCCATCACACCAGCCCTCACAGGCTCTATTTTTACTTCTGGTTTCCTGTTTTGTTTTTTTTTGGTTGTTATTTATATACCGTTTCCTGAAAGCACAGGTTGTGGTGTTAAGTCTGGAGTGTGGTCTGCAGGGTGACACGTTGTGTGGACACTCTCAGCCTTGCCCCAAACCTCTCTGGTTAGTCTGGCGATGCTCCCCTGCTATTCCCAGCCTCTTTTGACACCCAGTTCCTAAATCAAATCAGGTTGGTTTGGCCCTCGCCCTGCGCTTTCGGGCTCTTCGAGGCAGCTCCGGGAGCAGCCCGGCTGTGTTCTGGAGCCGGGGAGCAGGGATGTCCCGGGGTGCCCCTGCCGGGGTCCGGCTGCACAGGGGGCAGCACCTGCACCGGGCACCGCTGCGCTGGGGCCCTGCAGTTTCCACCCTTCCTCCCTGCGGTTGGAAACTTCTCCCCCCCCTCCCCTGCTAGGCTCTTACGAAAGCTCCTCTCTCTCCCTCCCCAAGTGATTTTCCATCACGTGGCTTTGAAGAGTTGGGCTCTTCTGGGGGAGGAGAGGGGGGAATGGGGCCCATTAACCCCTTCCTGCCTGTGGAGGGGAGGTCTAGAGACGTCTGTGATGAGCAGGTAGGGCGGTCAGCTCTTCCCTGGGGTTGCATCTGAGCACATGGTGGCCGAAACCTCCCCTGGGAGGAGGATCAGAAACGAGTGACTGCCCTGCAGTGAAAGTCACCAGCTGCTTTTTGCAGCGTGCGAGGTGAGGATCCACAGAAGTTACTTGCCAAGGCACAACATCTGGCTGTCAAAAATGGATGTTATGTACAGGGATGTGTTGCTCTGGCCCGACACAGGGGTGAGTGGATGCCCCAGCTGCTTCTGCATGGCCTCCTGAATTCAATTCCTGGGAACAGGTAGCCCTAACAATGCCAAGCTCACCGTAGACACCAGTACCACCCCACTGTGAGCTGCTCAGTGGGCAGCAGACCTGCCCCCCCAGCTCTAACTGCACTGGCTTATCTGCTGAGCAGCAGCCCGGCCTCAATGGCAGCACACAGGATGTATGACTGGTGCTGGCTGTAGAGATGGGGATTACCCAGGACCAGAGGGGCCTGCTTGAACCTGGCCAATCCCTGCTGAAGGAGAAGGGGCCAATTCTCCTCCCTGATACCCAGCTGGGAAGGAGGGAAGGGGCTGGGGCAGGACTGCCAGAGCTGAAGTGGTTCCAGGGCTGAGGTGGGTCCAAACCCAGCAAAGGCTCCACCAGAAAATGGCTACTGGGAGGATCAGGACGATATGAGCAGCATTTGCCAGTGCCCAGAACACTGCATAGCTCTCAACTGCCTGTAATTTAGATCTTTAGCTCCAGCTTCCAAGCGAGTTTAATGGAAGCAAGGCAGAGCTGCAGTGAACACGACCTCCTGCATCTCTACTTGGCAGCTCAGCAGCACTCCCAGGACCTTCTCGTGTGCTCCAAAGAGTCTGTGACACTTGGGCTGGGCACGAGGAACTAGAGGATCTGCACAGAGACAACCTGAGTCCCATCTGGAGTTTCTGCAGGCCACGAGCCCTGCAGTAGGAAGAGAGGCCAGGGTTGTCCCATCTCCATCTCCCAGCCATCACTTGCACTCCCATTGCACAATGCAGTGAGATCCCATCAGGCAGGCACATCCTCCCCCCAGAGACACATGAAGGTGGGAAGGCCATTGGCACCAGCTGCACCATGCTTGTGTCCCTCTGCACCCTGCAGCAGGGCAGAGGGCACCTTGCTCAAATGGAGATGCTCCTCACCTCGTGCTGAGAGTTGTTAGCTGGGTGTTTGCGTTGAAGACAGGAAGATGCATGTGGATCAACCACAGTGACAAGTGACAGGAGCAGAATCCAGGCTCCAGCTCACTCCTGGCATTCACTCCCATGGCCAGGCTGATTGCTACAGTGTGATGTGCCCAGAGATTGGGAACTGTCCTTTGGCTGGAGACGTGGCTGTTTCAGGAAGAGAGGTTGCTGGGATGGTTCTTTAATGGATCGGATCTCACCACAACCACCTGGGTGCTGCTAAATCCAAGGGGAGAGGTTCTGCTCGTGTGTACTGCACAACCGGATCACACTCGCTGCTTTCCTTTCTGCTCCCTGGGTCCCCTTCTACCTCCACTTCATCCCTTGCCTTTTCCTTTTCTTGCCAGCTCTCTAGTTCTTTCTGTATAATCTGCTTTTCCCAAAATACTGCTCCTCTCTTGGTTTCCTTCCCTCTCTCTCTCCCTCCCCTGTCTCTACCACCCTTTCTTCCTCCCTCCCCTTCCCCAGTGTCGATATCCTTCCCTCATCAGCTCAAGGGCATCCACTTACCTGCATCTCCACCTCTCTTCTGACCCTCTCTTGGCTTTTTTTCCTAGGTGGTACCATGGGCATCTGTCAGGCTCTGCAGCTGAGTCACTTCTCCAAGCCAAAGCCACCCCTTGGACCTTCTTGGTGCGGGAGAGCCTCAGCAAGCCTGGGGATTTTGTCTTGTCTGTCCTCACTGACCAGCTGAAACCTGGGTCTGATGTTCCAGCAGCTGGGGCAACCAGTGCCCCTGGGGCCCGGCTCAAAGTCACCCACATCAAGATCATGTGTGAGGTGAGCAGCTGGGAGAGCAAAAGGAAAGGGAGTGGAGTGGAGGAGGTGTCTGTCAGTCTCTGCTGATCATGTCTTCAAAAGTATGGGCCCTGTCAGCAATGTGTCTGAATTTGGATCACAGTGCTGTCACCTTGCAGGCTCCTTTTGTCCTTGCCCCAGCCTGGGTGACCATGGGCAGTGCTGGGTGCTCAGACACAGGAGGAAGCAGGGCTCAGTGTGACCAAGAAGTGAAAGAGAGAGGAGAATTCACAATCTAATTACAAATGCAGCGAAAGAGTCAAAAGCTCTTGGAGGAGAAGTGGCATCTGCAAGGCCTTCACTTGTAGTCTGAAGGATGCTACCAATCTGGCTGTCACAAGCTCTCCTGTTTCACGTGGGAAGATGCAGAGAGTGGAGGGAGATTTCAAGGACAGAGAGCCACTAGCCTGAAATGAGAGCTGAGGGCAATATACCTCCTCTGGGCTTCCATCCACTCAGAAAAGCAGTCACTTCACCATGCTACCAACTTGGTGTTCTCTGGGCAAACTTCCATTTTACCTCCCTGCTAGAGGAATTGCTTTTCTAGAAGGAACAGGGTGGTGCCCATGGCTTTGCACCCCACTGTGACCTTTTCCCTGAGGGTTCCCAGCTTTGTGTTCACACTGTTATGAGTGGGACCTTACACATCCTTCCTCCATGTAGAATGGACGCTACACAGTTGGAGGTGCTGAAACATTTGACAGCTTGGCAGATCTGGTGGAGCACTTCAAGAAGACTGGAATTGAGGAGGTGTCTGGCTCCTTTGTGTACCTGAAGCAGGTAAATCCCATTTTCTCTGTGTCTTAGGGATCCTTTGGAAGACCCACTTGCTGTTTGTTTCTGCTTGTGTCCCTCTCCTCCTTTTCTTCACAGCACAGAGAGGAGACTTTGCTCTCTAGCAGGGTCCCTCTCTCATGCCAAGCCATTGTTTTCCCAGCCCTACTATGCTACAAGGGTGAATGCTGCTGACATTGAAAACAGAGTGCACGAGCTGAACAAGAAGAGTCTATCTGAGGAGACATCCAAGGCTGGATTCTGGGAGGAATTTGATGTAAGAAACTGCTGGGGGACATTCTGGCTTTTTGGGAAGTCCCTGTGCACCACCTCATTCCCCATCCTTGATTTATTCCTGGACACGAACTTTTCAGGTGTCTTGAAAATTTTTGTCAATTTATCTCTGAAAGAAGTCTCTAATTTCTCTGGGGAATAACTGTCATCTTTAAGTGAAGCCAGTGAGGTAGAAATGTGCCTTTTTGTGGTTGGGAGAACTTGTCACCAAGACCCTGGACTTTTCCAGTCTATGTTTGCTTTTCACTTCTCTGCTTCCTCCACAATGATGCTCATGTGTCTTCAGGATCACTGCTGTTCCTTTGAGTGCCCAGCTCCCTGGTCATACAGTCTGACCTTGCCATGACTGTTCTTTCTTCTGCTCTCAGAGTCTGCAAAAACAGGAACCCAAGCACCTGTTTGACCGTCATGAGGGTCAGAGGCCTGAAAACAAGTGCAAGAACCGATACAAGAACATCTTGCCCTGTGAGTCTAGTTTTCCACTATAAAACAAAAAAAAACCCACAACAAACCTCAAATAGACAGGGACAGACAATGAAGAGCTGTCTAAGTCACCTCTTGCCCTGCTTCAGCCCACCCTGTCCTCCAGAGCAGGGGACAAGGTGTGTGGCACTGAGGATTTAAGAGCTGATGAGAGTTCACAAGCTTTTCATGTCTTTGAAGGAAGGAAGGACCCATTAGCTTCTGATGGTCTATTGTAGGGGTAAGGAGATAGGAGGACAGGGTGACATTGGTCTGACTCCAGAGAAGGAAAGGTGAAGATAAGGGGTCTGCTGCACGCACTGGGTGGCATGGATGAGGTGGCATGGGGCAGTGAAGGAGCTTCATGTGGCTAGGCATGGAGTGTCTCATTGCTATGTTTGTTCTTTCACTGCATCCCCAGTTGATCACTCCAGAGTCGTCCTCCAAGGAAGGGACCCAAATATACCAGGATCTGACTATATCAATGCCAACTATGTCAAGGTGAGAACTGAAATATGACTACGTGCCCAAAGTGGGGTAAGGCCTGCCTGCTCCTGCAGCCCTCCTGATCTTCTCCTGTCCACACTCAGAACAACCTGATCAGCCCAGATGAGTGCACCAAGACCTACATTGCTAGCCAGGGCTGCCTGGACACCACAGTCAATGACTTCTGGCAGATGGTGTGGCAGGAGAACACGCGCATCATCGTGATGACCACACGGGAGGTAGAAAAAGGGCGGGTAAGTAGCAGTTTGTAGTTGTCCCTGGGCTGCCCCCTTCAACCACTGCTCTGCTTCTTCTCCCTCTCCTGCCCAGCCTCACCCTGCCCCCTCTGCCCATGCAGAACAAATGTGTGCCTTACTGGCCGGAGGTGGGCAGCACAAAGGGATACGGCCCCTATCTCGTGGAGAACGCCGGGGAGCACGACGCGCTGGAGTACAAGCTCCGGCACCTCTGCGTGTGTCCCAAGGAGAACGTGAGTGTGTCTGGCCAGGGGCTGTCACGGGGCACGTGGGTCTAACTGCATATCTAAGGCTGGGAGCTGCTGGGTGCTGGGGTGTGCTGCTGTTGGGGCTGCTGTTCCCACAATGGCTTTGGGCTGGAATCATGCTGGTGGGATCACCAGGAAGCATGCAGGAGACAGAGATTCCCTCTGGCTTCAGGCCCACCTCTCCCTGGGACAGAGACCAGGGACAGGACTGGGCTGCAGTTCTACCAGCTGGGTGTTTTGTTATTATCAGGGTAAGGCTGTGCGTGAGATCTGGCACTACCAGTACCTGAGCTGGCCTGACCATGGTGTACCTAGTGAGCCGGGAGGAGTGCTCAGCTTCCTCGACCAAATAAACCAGAAGCAAGAGAGCATCCCAGATGCAGGGCCCATTCTGGTGCATTGCAGGTAGGTACAGAGGTTGGGGTTTGAAGCATTCTCCATCCTTTTCCTAGGCTGAGGTACAGAAAGCTGTTCCACCAGCTGTTCCCTAGGAACTGTGTGTGAAGCACGTGTCAGCCCCAATCTTTGTGGGGTTTTTTTTTCTCTTTGATGTCCCCAAACGGAACTCTCAGCCTGTTGAATTTGTCTTTTTTTTTTGTGGCATTGCTAAGCAGCTGCTCCAAGTGCCACACCTTTCCCTAGAACTGGCTGCATTTTGTTTCAGAAGCTGCACTGCTCTGACCTCTGCTTGTCCTCTCCTTGCAGCGCTGGGATTGGCCGCACTGGGACCATCATCGTCATTGACATGATAGTTGAAACCATCTCCACCAAGGGTAAGAGGACTCCACAGGATTTTGAAGTGAACTGGCCTACCTAGGAGGGCTGTGCCCTTACCTCCAGCTGCAAAGGGATGAAAACCGTCACGTGTCAGTGGGAGAGGTCTTGTCACAGCCCTGAGAAGGTTGTGCTGCCCTTGCTACCCGGCAGCTGCTGGATTGCTGCACCATGTCCACAGCTGTGGCTTCAGCCCTCCCTGAGCTTGAGCTCTTCCTCCAGGGCCAGTCTTAACAGATGCTGAGCAGGAAGGAGGGATAGCAGGTCCACACAGGAGTCAAGACTATGGAGGGAGGTGGAAACTTCTTGACTGACCTGAACCGTGACTGGTTTTGGTGGAGAACTGGGAGAGGGGCAGTGAATATGTCTCTAAGCTTTTCTGGTGCCCCCTGCTAGGACTTGACTGTGACATTGACATCCAGAAGACCATTCAGATGGTGAGGGCCCAACGTTCAGGGATGGTGCAGACAGAGGCCCAGTACAAGTTCATCTACATGGCCATCTGCCAGTTCATAGAGACAACCAAGAAAAAGCTGGAAGTTATCCAGGTGAGAAAGGGGACTCTGCTGTCCTGCCTGCAGAGCCTGGGCCCTGCATGATGGTGGCTCTGAGCTCTGTGCTCCATTTCCCAAGTTATTCTCTCCTGTAGTCTCAGAAAGGCAAGCCGAATGAATCAGAGTATGGGAACATTGCCTACCCCCCTGCAGTGAGGAATGTGCATGTCAAGGCTTCACGGAAATCCTCCAAGTAAGAGCTCACCTAAACCAGAGGCCCAGCTATGCCTGCCTCTAGCAATAGTCTCCCTCCTGGCTTGGCTGGATTTTCCCACTTGCTCATTTTTTCCCCTTGTTTTCCCCTGCTCTTCCAGGCAGAAAGAGGAGTCAACTGTTTATGAGAACTTGGAGAAAAAGGAGGAGAAGGTGAAGAAGCAGCGCTCCTCAGAGAAGAAACAGAAAGGCTCACTGAAGAAAAAATAAGCACACGTTGCAGGTAACCCCAGGGGGGGTTTGTTTGAACCCAGGGAGCAGGACTGGGGGTCAGGTCCAGGCTGGCCTGTCTCTTATTTCTTGCTCCCCAGCTGAAACTTGGCCTCTCCCTTCTCTTCTGTGCCACCTCCCAGTGCCCTGAACCAGGCTGCTTTTCAGCTCAGCTGACTGACTTGATTGCCTGACTCCAAGGTCCCTGGCCTGTGGGGGCTGGCCAGGGCTCTTGGTGCCCCTTCATCAGTCATTAACAGGAAGAAATCCTGCCCCTTCTTCCCCTTGCTCTCTGAGCACTGGGGCCCAAACTCCCCTCTGCTGTGTCAGCTGCTTGAGGAAGAGTTGAGACAGCTCTTTACAGGAGCTACAGCTCTGCCCACTGCTGTGAGTGCCTGTTACAGGTTCCCTGAAGCCTCAGCTTCAAGAATTTGGAGGCCTCTTTCAGCTTGGCTGCTCTGCAATTCAATGGGAAACCTCCTCCTGCCTTAACACCCTCTGCCCTACAGCCTCTTTTGTTGGAGCCTTCGATTGGATGCTGTAAATATACCAGAACTTGATGTGATTGCCACGTTTTCTCTTTTGTAAATAAACATGTACTTGGTTGCACACTGAGTCCCAGTTTTCTCTGTAATTCCTGTTTGAGACTGAGCTGTGCTCCTGGCTTCCCTTGCAGCCCTGCCAAGCCTTGCAAGAATGACTAGCTTAGTTTTCCTCACTTCCTGCAGCCTCCAGACACCTGGACAGAAGCTGTGGCCAATTCTGGTGGCTCCTTGCTGTGAGGCTTGAGTGCTGGCAGTCCTCAGCTATGTCTGAGCACAGACAGCAAGCTGACACAAACCTCCATGCAGGCTTTTGCACTTAAAATTGTGATACTTGGCAAAGTTGTCCTCATGCTCCCAAAATCACTAGACATTTTGTCATCTGTCTTTGGTGGTATCTAACCTGAGCTGGAAGGTAAGTCACAAGGGCTGCTTCAGCAAAGAGCAGTGCCTGACAGCTCCTTCCTCTGCACCACTTGGTAGAAATGAAACCTCATCTTCATGGAAAAACTGTGGACACAGTGTGTCTTCACATATCCTAGTCAGTCACCTCCAAGGAGCTGCTAAAGGAGCTGGATGGTTTAGTCTGGTAAAAAGTAGGCTGAGGGGCAAGCTACCCTCATCTACACCTACACAGAGGGGTGGGAGAAAGATGATGGTAGTGGCAGACAATAAAACCAGGGGCAAAGGTCCCAAATTGCAGCTTGGGAGGCTCAGGCTGAACAGTGACTGGGTCCATCCGACAGGTGCTCAGAGGGGAAACACTGTCCTTGCAGGTTTTCAATTCTTGAGGACAAAGCCACAGCTGATCTCACCTAGTGCTGGTAACAGTGCCACCTGCAGCAGAAGCCTGGACTAAAGACCTTCTGAGGTCTCTCCCCACCACAATTTCTACCATTCTGTGAGTGCCAGGAAGCATTCCTCAGTGCTGGAACCTGCCCTTGGTGGTGTTTGGATGGGACTCAGCATGAATTTTATGTCTTGCCAGTTAAAACCAGGCCCCAGCCTGAGAACCATAAAGAAACATTTGGGGGAGTGCTGAGTTTGGATGAAGCCACTGTTAAGGAGTGCAGACCTGAGCCCTTCTGAGCTGTCTCAGATTACAGAGGACACGCTGAGGAATCCTTCCTTTAGGGGTACAGGTACTGCTTAGGATGTGGGCATTTGCTACTCCAAGAAAAAGATGGTTCAGGTGTCCTCGACTAGGACCTGGTTAGAGCTGATAGCAGGAAAAGCTCAGACCCAATTAGGGAGAAGTCTTACCTATGTCACAAAGTGCCCTAGGACCCAAACCAAGATTACTTGGAAATGTGGGAGAGGGGATTTTGTCTGGTCTGAGCCATGCCTGGGCCTTGTGTGGGAAGACTGCACCATCAGTCCCCACAAGTTGCCTGACACAGCCCCACACTGAGCACTTCCCAAGTCAGATGTAATCACCCTCTGCTTTGGTGTGAAGATCTTAGGGCTGGGATGTCTCCTCTCAGTTCAGGGCACAAATCCAGGTGGGGGAAGGGGTGGAAAAGTGAAGGAATGAGACCTACCTTGACCTCTGCTCCTGTAATACACTGGCAACAGCCAGTGTGCCTGCAAGATGACCTACCTGGCTGGGAGCTGGCAAGGTGAACCATCTCCCAGTGATGGGCAGGATGACTTAGGTAACTTCAACTAGACTCCCTGCTTGGATCTGGATGCACAGAGCCAAGGCAAGGCTGGGTGGGCAGTGCACAAAGGTGCACCAGCTCTGTGGTTGCTGTTGTGCTTTCAGCCACACAAAGAAGTGTTGCCCAAGCCAAGGCACAGGCACAGCAATAATGCACTTCCAAGACAGAAGAACTCACCTTGTTGGGCAAAAACAACTTGACCCTAAGTCTAGGCAGCAGGCAAGCTCATGAGGGGCAACAAATCACAGCTCCAAGGATGAATGGCCAGATGCCTTCCTGCCCATATTGGGGGACGTTTTGCCCCTTCTTAACTGCAAGATCTGCCTCAAGAGATGATGCCACAGCAGCAACCTCATTCTTTTTGAGTTCAGCAGCTGGTTCTGGAGCACCTGGCTAGCTGCCTCGGACAAATGAAGTCGTATACCTGAGACACAATGTATTGGGAGGAAGGACACTGTTTGTTGTCATTTGATAAGGCAACAAATTTGGCTGGAAGCCTTGGGAAGATAGAAGATACGTTGTTAGCAGACCCTCTTTCCAGGCTTGAGCTTCCTCTACCTACATTGTGAGCCAACAGGCACTCGAATTTACCAGCTAGCTTTGCAACTCTGTTACCACTAAAGGATAAGGAAGGGACAGTGAGAAAAATGATGGGCAGGGAAGTAAAGATGAGTGGAGAAGCACCACGTTTTATCTCTGAACAGTGCCAGACACTGTCTTCTAAGCCACGGGGCTAAAGACCTACTCTCACAAAATATCCACCTTTGCTTTAGATTCCTGTGCAGCATCAATGGAGAGGGTCCAACTCACTTCCTTCTCAAAAAGCTGCCACATCCTAAAGCAAGGCATGCCAATGGAGTACTGTGTCCAGCTCTGGAGCCCTCAACAGAAGAGGGACATGGACCTGTTGGAATGGCCATCTACCGGATGGCCACAAAGATGATCAGATGGCTGGAGTACCTCTGCTATGAGGACAGGCTGAGAGAGTTGGGGCTGTTCAGCCTGGAGAAGAGAAGGCTCCAGGGAGACCTTATAGTGGCCTTCCAGTGCCTGAAGGGGCTCCAGGAAAGCTGGGGAGGGGCTTTTTACAGGAGCTTGTAGTGAGAGGACAAAGGGAAATGAATCAAAACTAGAGCAGGGTAGATTTAGATTAGACATTAGGAAGAAGTTCTTTTTCCATGTGGGTGGTGAAGCACTGGAACAGGTTACCCACAGTGGTGGAAGAGGTTCCATCCCTGGAGGCATTCAAGGTCAGGCTTCACAAGGCTCTGAGCAACCTGATCTAGTCCCTGCTCACTGCAGGAGGTTGGACTAGATGACCTTTAAAGGCCCCTCCCAACCCCACATTCTGTGATTCTATGAATGGGGAGCTTAAACTCTATTCAAAGCACAAAAATGGAGAGAACTTGTGGACCAAGTTGCTCTAAGAACCTCACTTCTGTTTAAAATTCCAGAGCTTAATGTGCCCATGATCTCCACTGTTTGCAAAAAATACAGACTGAAGAAGAACTTCCATGACTGTACATCAATGTACCCTGTCAGGCAAAAGGACCAACGTTACCCTGGGGTGCACGAGGCACAGTGTAGTTAAACAGTCACAAGAATCACAGAATGGTCTGGGTTGGAGGGGACCTTAAAGATCATCTAGTTCCAACTCCCCTGCATGGGCAGGGACACCTCCCACTTGATCAGGTTGCTCAGAGCCCCATCCAACCTGGCCTTGAACACTTCCAGGGAGGATGCCCCCTAACTTCCCTGGGCAACCCGTACCAGTGTCTCAACACCCTCACACTGAAGAATTTCCTCCTAATGTCTAACCTGAATCTCCCCTCTTCCAGTTTTAATCCATTACCCCTTGTCCTCTCACTACAAGCCCTTGTAAAAAGCCCCTCCCCAGATTTTTTGTAGCACTGGAAGGCTGCTATGAGGTGTCCCTGGAGCCTTCTCTTCTCCAGGCTTCAAAGAAGTGATGGTCCCACTATCCTCAACACTGTTTCAGCCTCACCTCCAGTACTGTGTGCAGTCTTGGACTCCACAATAGAAGAAGGGCATAAAAATACTAGAATGTGTCCAAAGGAGGGCAATAAACATGGTGAAAGAAAGAAGGCATCATTTATAAGGAGAAACTAAAGATGCTAAGTCTGTTCAGCTTTGAGGTGACTGAGGGCTAATCTCATTGCTGTCCACAATGTCCTTGTGAGGGGAAGCAGAGGAAGGTTCTGATCTCTGTTGTGTTCATCAACAGGACACAGGGAGTGGCATAAAGCTGCATCAGAGGAGGTTCTGAATGGTTATCAGGAAGAAGTTATTCACTGAGAGGCTGGTCAAGTTGTCTCTATTCAAGACAGATAATGCCCTTCTCACTGCTGTAACTTTAAGGTCACCTTGTGTGCAGTGAAGAGTTGGACTCTTATGACCCTTGTAGGTCTCTTCCAACTCAGGATATTCTACAGTTCTATGATTCTGTGAAATCTTCAACTCCTCAATCCAGCACAGGGCAGCCCAGCAAGACAGGGAAAAAGCCAGCCCCCTAAGCAGACACAATTTGTCCTTTGAACTCCAAGTATGGAAGAGAGCTTAGCCAGCAGAGGAAGATTTATCCTACATTCTGGCCAAGAAAGCAGGGGTGGAAAAACCCCAAGGTGTAACAACAGACATCAGGACGCAGCACATGCTGCTGTGACATGGAAAAACAGGTGAACCTGTGCTCATCTCTAGCACCTACAGGCAGCAAAGAAACTGGCCCTGGCCACTCATGCAGCTACACCCACACCTGCTCCTTCTCTCCACACCCTGTGATCCCTCAGCAAGCAGGAGGGTTTTCCTCTTGCTCTTTTCCCCACAACATCATGATTCTGTTTTCAACCAAATAAAAGCTCTGTTTCACCTCCCCTATGCAAAACAACCTCTTTCTCCAGCACTAAGCACACTCAGAGAAAACATTACTTTTGGAGGTTTTAATTTTTACAAATGTTTGAAAGCATCACTGAGCAGACAGTGATGCAAATAGATAATTCTAGCAGTGACAGGCACCCAAATGAATGACATTTTCCTGAATTCAGTCCCAGGTTCTCTTGGGATCAGAAGAGCTGAAGAGAAAAATATTTACTAGGAAAAAAAAGCCTGATGCTGATGGCAGCAGAACTCCCTCATTTAGAAAAAAATTAAAAATATTCTGATTTTACCCTACAGAAATCTAAAGGTGATTAGAGGTGAATGACTATATCCACGTGGTTCAACACCAGTAAGCACCCTTGCCCCCACCCCAGATTTTTTAACTGGTGGGATGAGGAAGGCATCACAGCTGCCTAGAGGCAGAGCCCAATCCCATAACTTGATCACCACAGACGGAGCAGGGGCATGGAAACCAAACCTGGCTACTGGGTTAAAAACTTCAAATTGAGGGCAGCAATGCTAGTTTGGAGGGAGTTGAAAGCTCCTCCTTCGTATCTTCCGCTGGTCAGCAAGCTGGCTTTAGGATGCTTCAGTTTCCTTCATTTCTTCCCTTGTTTGAGTAAGAGGCTGTCACTGAAAGGGAGACAGAAGGGAGTCATCAATTCAGGGAGCACAAGCAAAGCTGAACCAGACCTGCACTACAGACTTCAGCGTGTGTGGTGTCACACCCAAAGGATCTGCACTTCCAAGTCCTTTCTGTGAAGGACCACTATGGCTTTTTTCAAAGCCCCTTAAGTCTTCTGGGCTGAGTAAGACTCAATGTGGTCAGAATTAAGGAAGAAGGATCTTAAAATCAGAGATCCCACAGAAAAGAAACCAGCTTTGCCTCCCTTTCTGGATTTTAAGAAATTGAAGCTTTTAGCTGCATGTCATTAGCTCAGCTGGCACTGCCTTGTCCAGCAAGGCAGATGAGGCAGAGCCATCAGACTACTGCCAGCTCTGAGACCAGAGAATGGAGTTTTCTAGCATGGACTGGAAAGCTTTCAAAAAGTATCTTTCCCAGATATCATGACTCCAAACCAGCACAAATTCTTATGATCATTGAACCACCTGCTTAGAGCCCCCTTTGCTGCAAATGCAGGACACCCTGTATGTACACGCAGGACAGATCACAGGATGCTCCTCAGTTACTCTTGCCTTCCTCACACAAGGGTCCTTATGAAACACACACAGAGCTCCAATTACTAAGTATCTCCTACTCCATGTAGACACAAAAGTGTGTAGCAAGAGGACAAGGGGTAATGGTTTTAGGCTGGAAGAGGGGAGATTTAAGTTAGACATTAGGAGGAGATTCTTCACTGTAAGGATGGTGAGACACTGGCACAGGTTGCCCAGGGAGATTGTGGAAGCCCCCTCCCTGGAGGTGTTCAAGGCCAGGCTGGATGGGGCTCTGAGCAACCTGGTCTAGTGGGAGGTGTCCCTGCCCATGCAGGGGGGTTGGATCTAGATGATCTTTAAGGTCCCTTCCAACCCAAACCATGATTCTATGATTTGTGTGGCCCCTGCAAGGAAGGCTTCAAGCTCCACCTCAAAATGAGAACTGAGGTAGAGAACAGAACAAGAAAGGCCCAAGCCAGATACAACCCAGGCACTAGGCAAACATCAAAACCCTTGTTCCAACTAGTAGCAAAAGCATCAAAATAAACAGTGTATTACCTTCCTCTGTGTGTCAGGAGATGCAGTAAGGAGGGGGGGAAAAAAAGAAAGAAAAGCATTAGTAAATTGATCAAACAAAAATTTCAATTTCCACAGTAAGTACGACTGCTCCCTACTCAGCTGTGTCCTTTGGCATCAGGATCCTCTCAGAGAAAAGACCCTGAGAGAGCTCCAGAAAGGGGACCAGCTTCACAGGTCAGGTGCAGATAAATACCCCCACGACAGCCATCTGGCCCCTTTACCTGGTGAATCCCTCATCCTGCAGGTTCAGTACCAAGTTATCTGCTGTGAGATACACACGGTTTTGTGAGGCAGCAATCTGGAAAAGAAAGACATGGCAGAGAAGGTGTAAAGGAGTACAAAGACACACAGATGAATAGCACTAATAAAGAATCTATCTCCCTGCCTAGATAAAGCACTCTTGGTTTATTTACTTAAGATCTCTGTTAAATCAATGCAACTCCCCATAACAACTCTGTGACTTCCTGACTTCCCATCTCAGTGCCATCAGACTTCCTAAAAGAAGTGCTCATTCTATTTCTCTGTCAGACCTTTGATCCCATGCTTATCTGTTCCCCTTTGTCAGTCTGCAGGAACCCAGAAGCTTTTGGTGGCTGCAGCTGAATGTGGGTGATGGAATCTGATGTGGATCTGGCTTTGCCATCTGGGGAGCCTCAAATCTAGTGGACTCTTGTTGCAAGCCAGATCTTAAGCTCTATTTGAGCAGAGAAGGGCTGGACAGGATCACAGATCAGGACAGGGCAGGTCACATTCGCCTTAAACTCATCACTTGGCCACTGAGCTGGGAGGACAGCACAAGGACTGCAAAGGGACAAGTTCTGTGCCCCAGTGCTCACCGTTTTCGAGATGTTTTGAGCAGCTCGGATCTTGCGTAGCTTGATGTAGCCTGGATTCCTGCTAAGGGCTTCACCGAGGTACAGGGGAGCAGAAGTTAAGGAAAAACCTGCTAACAGAAGTCACTCATCCTTCAGGAAATTCTTCCTAAGCTGTATTATCAAATATCTCAACAATCTCTATGCCAGCAACTTGGGGCTTTGGGTAGGGACAGTTTTACTTCCCCCAATCAAGAACAACATGATGTAATCCACATAGAACCAATACAAGTTAAGCCTTAAAAGAGGGAGTGAAGGCTCAAAGCCTCCTCTGCTCTGAACTACCACCTCAGGCAAACCCCACTCTGGCCAACTGTTGGTAGATGGGGGGATGGAATCAATGAAAGTGACTTATTCGAAGCTATCACCCAATAACAGTCTTGTGTGATCCCAAGGCAATAGATTCTCAGGACTGTCAAGCTCACAACCCCCAGAATCTCTCAAAGCAGGATATCATCTTGGCAGCTGTAGCCTCTCCTTCAGCCTGAACAATCTTCTGCTTCTGCTCCTGCTTGGCCTTCTCCACCAGGAACTGTGCACGCTGTGCCTCCTGCTGGGCTGCAGAGAGAACAGCCAAAAGCACTTGAAGCAGACCCCATCTTGAGCCAGAACCCTAGAGCCTGGGGGGCTCCACTTCTTCCCAAAGAACTGACAGCATCCTGGAGCCATAGCCACAAATAGGAAATGTATCCCAGTGTACTTTCCTTTTTGTCTTATAAAATCAACAGCATCCAGACCCTCTACACATGATCCCACTAGTGACTGAGTCCCAGTCTGAAGGGGAACCCTGCAGTCTTGGGAACTCAGTCCCTCCAATGGTCTCTCCCATTAGCTATCATCCAAAGTTTTCCAGTAATCCTCATGAAATAACTTATTTGGTTCTGCCACTAAGGAGGCTGAAATGCATGGAAGCAGTGACCTGCTAGCCCAAATACCAATTCCTTTCTTAATAATTGAACGACATGGCAAATGCAACCCACCCTTTCCAGGCATAAACTGACTTACCCACTTGCTTGGCCTCCACAGCTGCTGTGTATTCACGACTGAAACTAAGCTCTGTGATAGCCACATCATCCAGGATGAGGCTGAAATCCTTGGCTCTCTCTGTCAGTTCTCGCCTAATAAGCAGAGACACCTGAAACAAGAACACAGCAGAGTCCCAAACACAGCCCATTTCTCATCCCCTGGTCCTCAAAAGGGAAGCACAACTGCTCTCCACAGTCCATTCCCACTGAGCCCAAGAGAGACATTGCCTAAAACAACCCCTGAACGACGGACACTAATACCTCTGAATCTGCCATCTTTAAACCACCCTGCATAGTCACAGCCACATACAGCACTTCCAGAAGCAAATTACAGCTCATTTACAGTACTACCACCATACAACTAATACTGCAGAAATAAAAGACCTTGAAAGGCTTTTTTTTGCTTCCACGTGCTACAACATCTAGTTCCACAGTCCCCACACATGTTCTGGCAATAACTATCTCCTTCTCCACTTCCAGTTTGCCAGTGTTTGCAGCCTGCCTGTCTACTTGTATTCCTGTTCAGACACAGAAAAAACATTTCCATGTAACATTTTTACCACATATCACACTACTGCAGCCACTCTTCTAGTGTGCCTACTCCATTTTTTTTTAGACTCTTCTAGTGTGCCTACTCCATTTTTTTTTGTCTCTTTAGAAGACTGTTGTTGGCAGATACCTTGATTTATTCCACCTTAAATTTGTCAGTATCTTTTTTTCAGGCAGGCTGACACGTCCTACACTAAATACTGACTGGAACAGAAATGATTGCTACAGGATCACATCCCCGACCAGTTCAGCATGTGCTTTTATTGCAGCTGTACCAGAAACCTTCCCTATGTGAACTGCAAAGAGAGAACTGCATAAACTCACTTCATAATCTTCTCTTACCAACCACTTCAATAGGCATCATTTTGCAGTAATGAAGGTGGAAAATTCAATCTAGTTTGCTCAGGACTTTCAGACACCCAACAGCTGCCTTTGCTTCTGATTAACCCTATTCCTTTGCAGACTCTCACATCCTCCCTTTCCACTCATTTTGCTTATACAAGATCTTTGACAAAGATCCTCTAAAGCCTTTAAAAAGAAAACCAGCAGCTTCTCCCTCAGTTGTGATAGCAGACAGATATTCTCAGAATCCCTGGCAATGATACTACCAGAATGCAAACTCTGAGGTGTAAGCTTTTTAAATCTGAATATCTCTATTATTTTGCAACAGATTACTCTCTTCTAAAGAGAAATACTGGCTACCCTTCTGTAGCATTAATTACTGAAAGTTTATTGCTAACTGTTCATCCACTTTGCTTTTTCAGATCCTGCCTACAGGAAAGCTGGGGAGGGATTTTTACAAAGGCCTGTAGCAAGAGAACAAGGGGTAATGGGTCAAAACTGGAGGAGGGGAGATTTAAGTTAGAAATTAGGAAGAAATTCTTCAGTGTGAGGGTGGTGAGACACTGGCACAGGTTGCCCAGGGAAGTTCTGGAAGCCTCATCCCTGGAAGTGTTCAAGGCCAGGTTGGATGGGGCTCTGAGCAACCTGGTCTAGTGGGAGGTGTCCCTGCCCATGCAGGGGGGTGGGATCTAGATGATCTTGAAGGTCTCTTCCAACCCAAACCATTCTATGATTCCATGATTATAACTATTTAGAACTCTTTAGAACTGTTTAATTTGCTCTGACAGCTCTTCTGAGACCCCCAAAGGGCCAGCTAATATATTTTTTTAAAAAGCCAGTTCTAGTATGACCTGTGAACTGCAACATAAATACCTGTCCCTCTCCCTTCATGACATGATGGTAACACTTCGGCGCTCTACGTACCAACGAATGCAGTTTTCTCCTCAGAACCCAGTGCTACAGCCTCAGTGTTTGCACCTCTGTCACAACCAAACTGCAAGCAGGGCACGGTTCTGCCCTCCCTGTTTGGATGCACTACCTGCCAGCCCCGTGCCTTTACCCTTCCCTTGACAGAACACCCCCCACGCCCACCACCGAGTCGTTTCTCCCTGCAAGCCCCCTCCGAAAAGAGCTCACCTGGGCCCTCTGAGTGATGAGCTGCGAGGCGTTAAACTTGGCGACCACGCTCTTGAGCACCTCGTTCACGATGGAGGGCAGGACCCGCTCCTCGTAGTCCAGCCCCAGGCGCTGGTACATGCTGGGCAGCTCGGCCGCGTTGGGCCGCGTGAGGACGCGCAGCGAGATGTTCACCATCTGCAGGTCTGCGGGGGAGAGAGGGAGGTGTGAGCAGGGCCAGCCCTGACCCCTCCGTCCCTGAACCTCGTGCTGCGGCCCGCGGGGCTGCCCTCACCTTTGGAGCCGGTGGGGGAGGAGATTTTCCTCGGGCGGGCTCGGATGTCGTAGATGATGGGGTACTGGAACCAGGGGATCCTGCGGGGGGGCGGGAGAGGCGCGTGAGGGCGCGGGGAGCGCGCGG